TTGTATGGATACTAATTTCATTTTAAAGATTCACCTGTTCAACAATATCTTTATATAGAACTAAGAGCCTTGGTCTGAACACATTTTATATTGATGCTTATACCATAATCCTAAAAACCACAGCTTATAAAATCAACATTAAGAATATTCACAAAATGAAAGGTCTTTTTTTTAATATATCAATTACCATAAGTTCCTTATCAGCATATGTTTATGCTACTGAATTAGATCTTGAGTTCCAGATGTTGATCGTTGAGATCTAACACATCACTCTGAACTGTGTTTGAGTATTAATGTACTCAGTTATTCAAAATAGTAGCAAATGTTTCATTTCCCTATTTAGGAAAGTAGCAAACAACTTTACTATTTCCTGAACAAACACTTTTTCATTTAATGTTCTTTTCCACTCCCACACTCCAAAAGCAAGAACAAAATTAATATAAGTGATCAAATAGCGATTACTTTAAAATGCTTGGACTATCCGAACCCTGTCTAATGCAGTCTTCCCAATCTGTTTCTCCCCATAGGTCTTGAAATTTTGATTTCTAGGGTTCCATCCTCCTGGCCAGCAAAGGTATAGAAGGCAACGGAACATGAAAAGTCTTAGCTTGCATCTATCAAGCTGTCAGAAAAGATAGGTGAAGTTTAAGTAACTCACAAATTCAGTGACAGTTCAGAATATTGTGACATGGGTATTGAGACTGAATATAGAAGGCAACTTATCTAATGAAATATAAGATAAGACAAGTGAATCAAAAGAAAGTGTGTGAGCTTTCTTCTCTTACAGATATTACTTTTCAGCATTTAATGTTACTTGTCACATCAATACTTCGTTATCATTTCTGTTTTGGGAGGTATTTGTACATTTAGAAACTGTGGAATAGGCATGTTAGAAATCAGCTAGGTGAATTGCTGATGTTCCTCAAAACAGAGTAATTACTATGCTGGTCATTGACCAAAATAAAGGAATGTGTGTAAACATTATGGCTTCAAGTACCAGGCAAATAGTGCTATTTTTAGTGTTGACAAACACAAATGATCTAGTGTGGGAATATATGCATTTCCAGGATAAAATGATTGGCTTTTGTTTTTCAACATGCAGTAGTGAAACATAAGGAGCAGAAATCAGAGCATTCAAGGGCAATTATATATACGGTATTAATTAGCTAGGCAAGCTAAATATTGTAGAATAAAAACTACCAATAAAACATATCAGGAGTCTAGATATTACTGGTGAAACATAAGCTGATCTTATAGAGTGAGCCTATAACACTGATTAAAGAAAATTGAGAATTCCCTCCATTCCAGATGAACAATGTGTAGGTTTCATAGCAAAAATAAGGAATGGCTTGCACATATCCTTTTCTGGATGTGTTTTCAACTTCCCATTCTAGTCCAAAACCCTTGAATTTTCTGGTGATCTCCCATTCAACACTAACCAGGCCTGATCTTGTTTAACTCTTGGTTTTAAAGCAGGCCAGATACTACTGTCTGATTGGGACATCACTGGTTGTATAATATAATTCACCTTTTAACTCCTCAAGCAATATGAATAACTATGATAAATAACTAAGTTTATTAAAGAACAAAACAAGTTTTAAATAAAGCAATGGTAAATTTGCCAAATGTTTCCTTTACCAAAGCCTCTGAATATTGCTCTTTTCTTTTCCTTTTTTTGATATTGAATCAATCATCCAAAAGTTGCATTAAAAAATCAATATTGAAGGCCATTTATACTTTGTTATAGCATTTTTGTAGGTCTTGTAATCCTGCATTAAATGGACAATTTATGAAGTCAAACTGACTTCACTGAAATTTTGGCATCTTAACTGGATAATATTTAATAAAATGTAACTATTAACACTTATAATATAGAAGCAGCCATGGTGGCACAGTGGTTAGAATGCAATATTGCAGGTTAAGTATGCCCACTGCTGGGAGTTCAGTTGAGATGGGGCTCAAGGTTGACTCAGCCTTCCATCCTTCCAAGGTTGGTAAAATGAGGACCCAGATTGTTGGGGGCAATATGCTGACTCTGTAAACTGCTCAGAGAGAGCTGTAAAGCGGTATATAAGTCTAAGTGCTATTGGTATTATAGATACAGTAGAATTTTTAAGTAGTGAACTAAAAACATATGATCAACATAAGCAGATGTTATGGATTAACATAGGGCTGTCTTTATTTGCATTATAATATGATAAATATGCATACTTTTGTTTAGGAAACATCTTTAGACAAATCTGATCTATATTCTTGAAAAAATAGTCCACAAAACATAAAGTCCTTTTATATGCATTATCAGTATTATAATTCTTGCACACTTTGCTTTATATGTAGATAGGGGAAAATAATAGGAAGTAATGTTTGTTTTAGCACAGCAAGTTGAATAACTAATATCTTCTTATGCATATTGTTAATCTAGTATGTGGGATCTTCTAAGGTTTGCATACAATCAAGAAATCCTATGTTTACATGCCAATTTAAAACTTTGTGGTCAATGTTATCAACTGTTTTGATGACATTTATTTATACAATTTATATGGCTGCCACACTCATGAAATGTAACTCTGTGTAGCTAACAGGAATCAAAACAAGACTAAATTAACTGATGCTCGTTTTTCTTTTCTGCTGGGTAAAGATTTCTGTTGCTGAAATAAATTCCTGGAAATATAATCCCTATGTTATACCCAGCTTTGATCAATCAAATGGAACACATTTCCTTATTTATATAACTAGCATTCAGTACATGGATTACAAGAGAATCCTGCATCATATGATCTACACTCTTAGTCTGCCAATACTGCAACCAATTTCAACCTTACTGAGCTTAAAATGCTAGTGTTTTCACAACAAATGCTCTAATTCAAACATGGTTCCCTATGCAGTCTCCAGTCATGTTTCTAGTTCCTTAAGACCAATGAATACAATCAGAATTCTTCTCAATTTAAGCCAAACATGAAAGGGAAAAGATGTAGAATTATGTTATCAGTGCTAGGCTTCCAGTGATAATGTGTATTTTAAGAAATTTTTATATGAAAAGGGTAGGTCCTGCAGCTAAGCAGTATCATTGTATTTTCTGTGTGTAAATATTATGACTAAAGAAAATATTCCTTTTTCAGTCTGGATTGAAAAGCAATGCACAGCAATAGCGAAAAACACACTGAAATTTCTAAGTTGCTTTTTTTATGGTCTTCACTTCAGATACCCTGAAGTGCCAAATTGCAGAATCTAATTTACTAACAGACTGATTTCAAAAGTCACTAATTCAACCACCCCAAAGAAAACATGTAAGTTACTTCTGCTATGAAATAATTTAACCAACGTTATTACCAAAATAACTGAAGAAGTTAACCTTAAAATGTCAATATTTTCTTCATATTCCTTAATTTAAAATATTAGGAGCTACTTAAAACCCAGGCTGCATTACTTTAACCACTACTTTTAAAATAAATCAAATTTTAGAGAAATATTTTTAGCATTAGCTTTCAAGTGAGCAGAGAAATATTAATATGAAATGAGATTATGACATCTCAAGTATCCATAAATTACAACAAGATCTTTGGAGAGAGCAAGTCAGCCAAATGTAACACATACCAAATACAAAACAAGACTTAAAGCAGCAGCACAGAATACATTGTGTTTATGTTTATGAGATGCAAATTAAAGTTAAAGAAACAGATTTCTTGCTCCTTCCTTCCTGTAGAAATTCAACATAAACATTAAGCTAAACCTATTACTGCACAACTCAGAAAATTGTTGGTAGGAAATTGAGAAAATTACTACAGTGTCACAAAGATTGCAAAAAGTAACCAGCTAACCAGCAGCCAAGACAAAACAGGCTGTCTGTAAACAATACACTTCATTGGAAAGTATACCATTACATGCATCTATCTACTCGTGGAAATTCTCTATGCTTTACAATGAATAACTGCAGATTTTTAAAACCCAAACAACACAAAATTAAGACATAATTTTGGCAGTTACCATCCTCAAAGGTATTCTTTAAGGAAAAGTTGGTCTCTTTGGAGGCTGAAATGATTTAATACTGAAAGTAAAAAAAAAAGACCCTCAACCTCAATCTTCCATTTAAAAAAAGGCAGAAAAAGCTAATAATTACTAATATTGCCTGCAGTAATTTAGCCATTTGAAGCTGAAGGCTTTTGAGAAAATTAGCTAAATTAGAAAAATAGAGATTTCTTACAAACCCAGATTAGGAATATTCTACGGAAGATAAAGGGCAGTGAAAATAAAAATCACAAAACAAAAGGACAAAGATCACATTATTTGAAAAATGTATTTCTTTGTGAATGGTTCAAAAGGACGGTGGAAAAGATTAACCAGAACGCCGAAGAAAATCAAGCTGTTGTTATACATCAGCACAAAGGAGTCGGATTCCTTTGTTTTACCCCTTTTAGCATCAGTTAACGTTTCGGCCTGCTCGCTTACCTCGGGCAAATTAGGGAACGTATTCAGAGAGTTTCAAAGAAGCACGTATCTTTCATGACCTTTCACACGTTGCTAAGGCACCAAAAAGAAAGAAAGAAAGAAAGATTTCCCAGCCGAAAGGCTCCCTGACAAAGCCTTCCCAGACCATACACACACACACACACACACACAAACACACAAGCCTTTTTTGGGGGGGGGGGTAAAGGAAGATGAAGACAGGATGTGGAAATATCCACCTCGAGACGCCTGAGCAATTTCCTTTTTTGAGAAAGAGGACAAAGAACATGCAAACGCAAAGCCTACAACAGAAACACAACATGAGGCGAAAAACAAACGCGCGCGCGAGTGTGTTCGTGTGTGTGTGTGTGTGTGTGTGTGTGTGTGTGTGTGTGAAGGGGGGGCGGTTGTTGGACAAGGAAGGAGAAAACGGCGGCGGGGGGGGGGCCGAATTCTTCCTGCTCTAAAATTTCCTCTCGCTTCCCCCTCCCCAGCTATTTCTACCCACCCCCATCTTCAGCCTCCCCCCCACCTCAGTCAAACCGATATGTTCTTACCTTGTACGGACTGAGAGCCGGGATAGTGACCCGGTATGAACTGGTGGCGTCCCTCTGTTCTCCCCTTCCTCCTCTTCTACAGCAGGTAGACAAGACCCCGCCGCTGCTCCTCGCAGAACGGCAAAGGAAGAACCAAAAAAAGGGGGGGGGGCTGTAATAAATCAATCACCTCCAGGAAAAACAAACCCTCACCCAAAATGCCAGGCAGGCAGGGCGGGAGAGCGATTCCGCAGCGGAGCTTTCAAGTAATCCTGCCAGCGCCGCCGCTGCCGCCGCCGCCGCCGCGCGCCTGCAAACCCGGGAAGGGGATGTGGTGAGGGGTTTGGGGGGGGGGACACGCAAGGGAACAAAGTAGCCCGTCTCCTTTGTGGCTGGGAACGAGGCGGAAGGAGCACAATTCCCCGACCAACCAACCTCGACTCTAGAACTAGCCCTCTGGGTCAGCTGTAGCTCCGCCACCACATATACATAAAAGGGGGCGGGGGGGCATGGTGACCTCTTAAAAACGCACCGCCCTCTGAAGGAGTCTGGGAAGTGTAGTTCTTCGGGCTGGATAGAGGCGCCAAGCGCGAACGGTTATTAACGCCGGCGTGGCGGGCGCCTTTAAAACGTGAACGTCGCGATTGTGTTAAAACGAGCTGGCTTGGCTCAGATGCTAGTATAAACTAAAGCAAAGGGGAGGCAACATTTTGCTTCACAAGATGCTAGTATAAACTAAAGCAAACGAGCTGGCTTGGCTCAGATGCTAGTATAAACTAAAGCAAAAGGGAGGCAACATTTTGCTTCACAAGGCGATTCAACTGCAAAATATTAATTATAAGGCTCACAAAACCTTAGGGTGCAATGAAGCGAAATGCTGAATGCGCAGCATTGTTCCTCCACCCATGATTTACCTTTTTTTTTTTCAGGGATGGTTGTTCAAAGAGAGTTTGCGGTACAGGTAGTCCTCGACTTACAACAGTTCATTTAGTTACAGCAGCCCTGAAAAAAGTGACTTATGACCATTTCTCACAGTTACGATCTTTGCAGCATCCCCATGCTCATGTGATTTATATTCAAATCAGTGGTGGGATTCAAAAAAATTTACTATCCCAGTTTTGTGGGCGTGGTGTGGCTTGGTGGGCATGGCAGGGGAAGGATACTGCAAAATCCCCATTCCCTCCCCTCCCCACTAACCTGTTTTCCAGCTCCGTTCTCCTGTGCAGGGCAACCAAAGAAGTCCCAGCCGATCATCTGGGACTTGGGAGGCAGAGAATAGATGGGGGTGGGGCCAGTCAGGTGGTATTTGCTGGTTCTCTGAACTACTCAAAATTTCCACTACCGGAAATTTCTCTAGAACTGGTCAGAACCTGTTGAATACCACCTGTCATGCCCTTGGTAGAGTTGGACTCTGAGGGAGAGGAGGAACAGCCGACAGGGAGTGGAGGTGTGGCTCCAGAAGTTGTAGAGGAGGCTGGGGAAGGGCAGAGGTCAGCTGGGCAGTCAGAGGAAGAACCAGGCCCATCCCTTCTGCATCCTAGGACACGCAGGGAGGAACAGAGAAGGCAATAACTTGGCTTACCAGAGAGGAAGCAGCGATGATACTCCTCATTGGTTGCAGCTGGGGAGAATAGTACATAAGAGAGACGATTACAACACCAGAAGCAAACTGTGTGTTATTCTGGGCTGAAGTTATCTTGGTTGAATTTGGTAATTACTTATCCTAGCCATTGTGGAAATTTCATCATTGTAGTTTGTTTGGTTTTTTAATTTCACCTCTATCTGCTCATTAAGTTCGGACTGTATTGCTTTCTTTTGAAGACTATTTTTGAGTACGTTTTATTTCCAACTGAGAATTATTGAACAGTGTGGCCAAATTGGAGGCATTAAAGGACATTTATTTATGTTTTGTATTTTGTTATGTTTGCGTTACACTTTGGGTCATCACACCACCTCTAATTCGGATGCTTGACAATCAACTCACATCTATGATGGTTGCAGTGTCCTGGTTCATGCAATTCCCTTTTGTGACCTTCTGACAAGCAAAGTCATTGGGAAAACCAGATTCATTTAACAACCGTGTGTTCCTAATTTAATAGCTGCAGTGATTCAGTTAACAAATGTGGCAAGAAAAGACGTAAAATGGGGCAGGAACTATCTGTGTTTTGTATAACAATGTTGTAAAAGGGATACTGAGGCATGGGACATATACAACTCAGGACTACGTTATGGTATAGATTATCTCAGTTCTGCATTGCTTATATATTTTAGACTTTCTTGGGAAATGTGTTGTAGAAAATTAGCACCCACCCTTCTCCTAGAAAAATGAAAGATTCTAGGAAATATTAAAAAGGCAGAATATTTCCCTTAAAAGAGAAATAGAAATCTTAAGGGACACAGAAACTCAGCCCCAGCAGATATTTTGATGCCAGCTTATCTACAAGTCAAAAGACCTTCAGCTCCAGGGTGATAGGATTAGCCCTCACTCAAAATCCAAACCAGGACAACGCCATTAAGCCATAAAAGTGATTGCCGAAAGCCCCTTCGTTATATCACCCAGCAAGATTCTACCAAACCTACAAAGTTACCATTGCATAGCCCCATGGGAGTGTGACAACCAATCAGGATACATTTCTTGCCACAGGAAAAGGAAGCAAGTTTAAAGCCCAGCAGAAGGTATAAATCTCTCTCCCTCTCTCGTCCACATGCTCATTTTTTGCCCAGGACCTCAAAACCATGTGGTCCTGTCCACCATTAAACCATCCTTCCAAGCAGTCTCCGTGTTTCCAGTATCTTTCTTCCCACTTGAAACTGAACCCAGATGGACATTTCTTCCAACAGTGTTAATAGCAAGCTCATTAATCCTACATAAATACTATTTTTAACTGTTACTTTACAGCAGTTTTTCTACTATAGAAAGCATTTTGGTGATAGTTCTCCACCTTAAATATTTGAATTGCTTGTTTATTCATGTCAGGAACATCACAATTAAAAGAAGGCATACTGTATGACCTAAAATTTAAAATATAAAATACAGAATTAAAATCTGTACAAATATGTACAGATTAAACAGATCTTGCCCTGGGCAAGTTGTGTTTAATATTTGAATAAGCAGGAGGTATAAAGATGAAATAAAAAAACAAGTACATTATAACAGCATATGAGTATTTTGATATTATTTATCTTAGAAAAAACAATCTAATTTTTTTCAGGGAGAACTGTTAGTATTTATATAGTTATATTTTATTTTTTGTGCTTATAAATTTGTACAAGTTTATAAATTCATTTAAGCAGGTACTACCCAAAACTCTTAAACTGGTAGTGTTATTTGTTTTATGGTTATAATAAATTATCAGGCTTAATTACAAATTTATAAATTCAGTCCAAATTATGCCAGCATATAAACCAGGTAGTCTGTGGGAATACACAAAGAGAAAGCTGAAAGACTAAGCAAGTCAAATCTGAAGGAAAAGTTTTGGAACTAGGAGTCTCAAGTTGTGAGCAGGACATATATAACATTGTATGTGCCTATCCCTTGCTTTAAAAAATGTAAAGAAAAAATTAAACACAGAATTCTGATTAAGAAAATTTTGTTGTGGTACAGCATAAATTACTCTTGCCCTTAATTCTGTTTTATGTAGGCCAGCTATATGGAAGCTATATCTCTTCACATGTTGACCTACCCTTCTCATTATCTATTATAATTGGCCCTTTGCCCTGGATGTTGTTGTTGTTGTTATTATTATTATTATTATTAAAGAATCACTTTAACAGAGCTATTCTACCCCATTTTTCTAGTTGTACAATCCCCCATCAACACTTTATGCTTGTATTTCTAAGCAACAAATCTAGGATGGTAATACTAAAAATAGTGATTCTTGGAAAGGCTGAAAATTGTCTAGGATGGTTATGAATTACTATGCTGCTTTTGTATTCCATCTATACAGCTATGTCTATTGGAAGAGTTTTTAAGAACATATAAAAATAGCAATAGTACTTAGACGTACATACTGTCCCATAGTGCTTTGCAGAGCTCTCTAAGCAGTTTACAGAATCAACATATTGCCCCCAACAATCTGAGTCCTCATTTTACTGACCTCAGAAGGATAGAAGGCTGAGTCAACCTTGAGCCAGTCAGGATCAAACTGCTGGCAACCAGCAGAATTAGCCTGCAATACCACTACACCACCACAGCTCATATACAAAGCCACTACACCATGGCTCATATGCAAGTGCATCAGGTTTAATCATATCTATTTGGTTTTATATTTGGTCTTGGTTTTTTTAAAAATGTCATAAACAGTTTGTAGACTCATCCTTATATCTCCTAAATTGTGGGAAAACTGGCCCTGATAACCTGATAAAAAAAATGTAATGCCCTTTCCTTCATCTCATCTCCAGTCCATAGCAGAGGCAACTTCATTTGGCTGTTCCAGTTTTCAGGTAAAAACTTTTCTTTTGAACAATTTATACTGTGAATACAATCTAGCACACCTCATCAATTATGTGGTTGTGATGTGAAAAGTGAAGAGCAGCACATGTGGTCAGCTTGATTATAGTGAGACAATAAAGCTCTGATTATGGCAGCAAATTTTGGCATGTTTTTTATTATGAAATTTATATACAGCTCATCCCTGCCAAAAGGCAAGTTAGGAGGCTTACAACAAGAAGGAACAAAATAAAACATTACAATATTAAAATAATAAATATTAGTAGAAAAATTAATCTTAAAATTGACAAAGTTGGAGAGGAAGGGAGCAAGCTACACCTAGGGTGGAAGTAGAATATTCTTTTAGTTTATGCCATTTGGAGGCTCAGGGATAAATTTTAATGTGTCCCTCTGGGTAGTTCCCTATGTGTTAATTTCCTCTGAACTGAATTTGCAGGGCCTTAGGTAGCTGCATGATTAAGTTCTAGTAACATCCAGTGATACTTCTTTCACATGCTAATCATGTCAGGACATGTGAAGAGAATATAAACGAAATGATCATGAGCTGATGAATGAATGCAGGCTTGCAGTCTGATGCACAGGCAAGGAATCTAAAAGGCAATCTGTTGTCAGTCATGATGTTATATCTTATCATCCCTATATGTGATGCTTTACAAGATAGTACCAATAAAAAAGGAAAGCTTTGATTCTCCAAATGCTTTTAGCTAAATAATTAATGTATTACATAGGGGGAGAAAAAAGGGAGGGAGGGGAGCAGAGGGAAAGAATGAAGGTGAACAAATTCATAAATGAATACATGTGTCCCAATCATAGAGGTTGATTCTTAAAGTATCAACATATTTTGTATTTTTTCCATTAGTGGACTCATTGCCACAAATGTAGTGACTGAATGTAGACTACCATTCCACACAGTCTACACTCAGCTCTTATTTAAATATATTTACAGAATATAGAAAGAAAATGTTCAATCAGCTATTCAGTTATTTAATATGGAAAATACACCAGGTGTGAC